GGACATATTGTCAGGAGGGACCACTCACTGGAGAAGGATATCATGTTTGGTAAGGTGGAGGATCAAAGAAGGAGAGGAAGACCCTCAACGAGATGGATTGGCCAAGTGGCAGCATCAGTGGACTCAAGAGTGGCAACAGTAATGAGATTGGCCCAGGATCGGGCAGTGTTTCGTTCTGCTGTGTATAGGGTTGCTGTGAGTCGGTACCGACTCGATGGCACCTGACAACAACAAGGACCCTAAAAAAAAAAGAAGCAGTGGTATTGAAGGAAGAAGTCCAAGCTGCTTTGAAGGGATTGGTGAAAAACAAGACTCTAGAAATTGATGGAATACCAACTGAAAAGTTTCACCAAACTGATGCAATGTTGGAGACGCTCACTCAGCTGTGCTAAGAAATTTGGAATAAAGCTATCTGACAAACCTGTATTTGTGCCCATTCCTAAGAAAAGTGACCCAGTGGAATGCAAAAATCATTGAACAGTATCATTAATATCACATGCAAGTAAAATATTGCTGAAGATAATTTAACAGTGGTTACAGCAGTACATTGCCAGGGAGCTGCCAGAAATTTAAGCCAGATTCATAAGAGGCTGAGGAACGAAGAATATTGTTGACGTCAGTTAAATTTTGGCTGAAATCAGAGAATACCAGAAAGATGTTTACTTATGCTTTGTTCACTATGCAAAGACATTCAACTATGTGAACCATAACAAACTATGGATAACATTGTGAAGAATGGGTATTTCAGAACATGTGATTGTGCTCCTGACGAACCTGTACATAGACAAGGAGGCAGTTCAAACAGAAAAAAGGGATGCTGAATAGTTTAAGATCAGGGAAGATGTGGGCCAGAGTTGTATCCTTTTTCTTATTTACTCAATCTATATTCTGAGCAGATTATGCAAGAGGCTGGATTATGTGAAGATCATAGCATCAGGATTAGAGGGAGACTCATTAACAACCAGTGTTATGCAGATGATACAACTTTGCTTGCTGCTAGCGAAGAGAACTTAAAATACTTAGTGATGAAAAGATCAAAGACCACAGACTTCAGGATGTATTGCACCTCAATGTAAAAAAAAAAAACTCCTTATGTCTTGACCAATATATAACATGATGATAAATGGAGAAAAGATTGAAGGTGTCAAAGATTTCATTTTGTTTGGCTCCAAAATCAACACTAATGGAAGCAGCAGTCAAGAAATAAAACAATGCATTGCATTAGACAGATTGCCTGCAAAGGGTTTTCTTCTTAAGTGCTAAAAAGAGCAAAGATGTCAGTTTGAGGAATAAAGTGTGCCTGACCCAATCCATGGTATTTTCAGTCACCTTATATGTATGTGAAAAGTTGGACAGTGAATAAAGAAGACTGTAGAATAATCAATGGCATTTGAATTATGGTTTTGGTGAAGAGTATTGATAGTACCATGGTCTGCAAAAATAACAAGCAAATCTGTGTTGGAAGAATGACAACCAGAATACTGCTTAGAAGCAAGGAAGTCAAGACTTCATCTCTTGTACTTTGACTATATTAGCAGGAATGATCAAGATCAGTCCCTAGAGAAGGGCAAAGTGAAGGCTTGACAAAGTGAAGGGTCAGCAAAAAAGAGGAAGACACCTAAGTACCTAAAGAAATGGAGTGACACAGTGTAGCACCAATGGGATGCAGCATAACAATTGCAAAGATGGCTCAAGACTCAGCAGTGCTTTGTTCTGTTGTGCATAGCGTCGCTATGAGTTGGAACTGATTCCACACCAGTAACAACAATATCTTGAAGTACAGTGCTGCCAGTGATGTGATTATTATCCATGCCATCAAGGAGTACTAGTCGGTGGTTCAAGCTCACCAGCTGCTCCTTGGAAACCCTATACAGGGTCATTATGGGTTGGAATCGACTCGATGGCACTTAACAAAAACAACAATACTTCATTTCCAACTTTCATGCATCAGGATTGTATCCTGTCACCATTAAGTTATTCAGAGCAAATAATTCAAGAAACTGGCTTATATGAAGAAAAACGTGGCATCAGGATTGGAGGAAGGCTTATTAAGAACCTGCTATACTCGATGGCACTTAACAACAGTACATAGATTTGCATACATGTGGCTCTGTGGGTTAATGCGCCAGACTGTAAAGCCATTTGAACTGCAACGTCAGTGGTTCAGACTCACCAGCTGCTCCTCAGAAACCCTGTGCAGTGGCGCTCTGGGTTGGAACCGACTCGACAGCACTTCACAACAACAAAAATATACAGATTTTGGAGCCCTGGTGTGGCGCTGTGTGTTAGTGCGCCAGATTGCAAAACCGTTTGAACTGCAAGGTCGGCAGTTCAAGCTCACCAGCTGCTCCTTGGAAACGCTGTACAGAGTTGCTGTGTGTTGGAACTGACTCAGTGGTACTTAACAACAACAATAGTAGTACATAGATTTGGAATCCTGGTATGGCGCTGTAGAATAATCTACTGGACATCAAGGTTGGCTCAGACTGCAAGCTTGGCAGTTCAAATTCAGCAGTCACTCCTCAGAAACCCTATACAAGGTCATTGTAAGTCAGAATTGACTCAATGGCATGTAACAACAACAGTAACAAGTAGGTCACAACCTTGCTGAAACTGAAGTGGACTTGGAAGCAGTTATCTGATGTAGATCAAATACTATAGACCAGTATAATATACCTCAACATAAAACAAAAATTCTCATAACTGGACCAGTAAAAAAACACTATAAATGAAGAAACTATTAAACTTGACAAAAATTTCATTTTATTTAGATCTAATGAAACTTGCTTTTCCACTCAGTGATTTAGATAGGTTACAAAACTAATAATTGTCTAGGGATATATTTTTCATAGGTTTGTCTGAGAAGACAAACAAATTTTGCCGTTGGTTTGTCTGACTCCATATTTGGTGAGTTTTTTGTGTTCCCTGTAACTTTTTGACATGCTTATTATACTGCATGTATGTATCACCACCCAGATCAAGATCTGGAATATTCCACGCATCCTAGAAGCTCCCCTCTTGTCTTCTCTCAGGTATTGACCACTCAGTGCTGTTGTGCTTTCCACCTCGATTTATTTATTTTTTTTATATTATGTAATTGAATGACTAAATCTCAGCTAAGTACTCTGTACGAATTTGAAAGTTCTCCCCTTCCCAGCCACATTTTCTTGTGAGATTTGTTATAGTGGATATTGAATTAGTTGCAGGGAGGTGCTTTTAGAAAATAACTCATGTGTAGAAAATTTAAATATTTTTATTTTTAATTGTTCCAGCCACAGACTTCGAAAGTTTATACTTTCTAAAATATGTGAATGTTTATCTATCCAGTTACTGTGTGGGTATGTAATTTATTTGTACACACTGAATATATTGTCTTGTATGTGTTAGGTTTCTCAGGGTAATTTTTGTTATTTTGCTTTTAGGAGTTACGGTACAGCACCTGTAAATCTTAACATTAAAACAGGAGGAAGAGTTTATGGAACTACAGGTAAAATTTGTACAGCTGTCTCTTAGTATCCGTAGGGGATTGGTTCTAGGACCCCCATTGATACCAAAATTCCCTGATATAAAATGCTATACATAGTGTTTGCATATAACCTATGTAGAGTCTACCCTACACTTTCAATCACTTCTAAATTATTTATAATATGTATTACAGTGTGTATGCTATGTAAATAGTATGTTCCCTCTTAGCCTTTGAGGGATTGCTCTGATGACTAATTGCCTTTTTTTTTTTTTTTTTTTAATCTGAACATTTACAGTTTGTGATTGGTTGAATATAGAGGGCTGACTGTATTTGCAGATGCATTAACAGAAAAATAAGTCACCTGGTCTGATTATGACAAAAATTTATAATAATCACTACTTTGAAATGTTCTATTTAGCTCTACTACCTCCTGTTTCTCTGCTAGTCATAGAGTTTTCAGTGACTAGCGATTCGGAAGTAGTTTGTCACTCTTTCTTAGTCTGTCTTTGTTTTGTAGCTCATCTGAAACCTGTCCACCATGGGTGACCCT